AACGACACCCACTCTGAGAATCTAGAAATGAAAATGGGTGAAGATTTACCTTTCTTTTCACCACTGGCTTGCGAAAACATAGACTGCAAATTGCATGTCACTTGCTTTCGTTACTCAGAATAAGAACAATTGCCCACCCTCAGTCATCCTGCAAATGGGTCTCTACCCCTGGTTGGTGCATTTAAGGAATTTGTCCTCCTTAAAAAACTCCTTGCTGTAAATCAGATTGAAAGTCCATTTATTCCGGTGAACCCTCTCTTACATAGCCAGGAAGAGCCTTGTAGAAAACTCACGTTACAATCTTTATACAGCTGTTCTTGTCCGGGGTCCTATTTCAAGGTAGACTGCTCCTTGATTGTTGTGATTTCTGCACAAAACTTTCTTTCCACCTGGCATTGTTTTCAGCTTGCACCTAACAAAATGCAAATGGCAAAGCTGGCAGTATCATTGACGATTCTTTGGTCTATGTGAGACAAATAAGCAAGAGTTGCTGTATTTAAAACTGTTTCCCATAGGAGCGATCTCCGTGCCTGCACATGTACCTACAGCTGCAGACAAACATAGTGGTGAGAAACCTCTACAGATAGTCCTTGTTTAGTGACTGACTCTTTTAACAATCATTTGCAGTTACGACAGTGATGAAGTAACTGTCTTTGCATTATGACTGCTGCAGGTCTAAAGCAAAAGAAAGCTGAAGATGATTAAGCACAAGTTATAGTTTCACTTAGCAGCTGCTTCATTTAATGACCAAGTCACGGGTCCCAATTGTAGTCGCTAAACGAGGACTAACTGTACTTTGTTTTCTATATGCAATGGAAGTTTTATTATTTGGAAAAGTGAGCATCCAAACGCATCCTGCCTAAAATTCTATAGTCTATTCCAGATGCCATTCTGCCTGAAGTATTGATCCATCCATAATCCATTCAGCATTACAAGGTGCACTGTCACCATGATGCTGAACCTACTCAGGCCTTTCTTTAGCTTGTCAAAAAAGCAGATTATGCTGTTCATTTTAATGGAGGATTGCCTAGTTCAAGTGCTGGAGAATACTGCCCATTTCATGAATTTTGTACTTTAAATCTACAGTCAGTTTTAAGACTCCTGAGACAACGGACGATCTCATCGCCCGGCGCCTTCAACTACTTGAGTCAATCCATCGATTTAACAAGTAGGCTTCCAATTTTTGTGAAGTGTTTAAAATGCCCGATTCTTAAAAAGATATTGCCAGAGTAAATGTGAAGAAGAGCTGACATTACCTCAGATGTTGGAATCTAGTAAGGAATGGATCTTTTGACAATCTCCCCTGAATTATGGGGACATGTTACAGCGAATCAGTTATTAATTACAGATAGTCTTCAACTTATGACCACATTTGAGACCGGAACTTCCATCATTAAGCGATGCAATTTTACAGGCTTTTTTGTCACAGTCGTTAAGTGAATCGAATGGTAGTTAAATGAATCCTAGTTGCCTCATGGATTTTGCTTGTTGAAAGCCCAGCTGGAAAGGTCACAAATAGCAATGCTGTGGCTCTTGGGACATTGCAACCATCATAAATACATGCTAACCAAGTGCCCAAATTTTGATCATGTGACCACAGGGACGCGGCGACAGCCGTATGTATTAAGACTGGTCGGACGTCACCTTTTTTTCAGCACCGCCATAATTTTGGTCGTTAAACGAATGGTTGTAAGCCGAGGACTATCTGTAATCGGTATTATCAATGTTTTGTATTGGCTGTTCTAAAAATAGAAGGACTGCTGGGTGTCTAGGCATTTCAAGATTACTGAATTGAACTCAGAAGGAAGATCCCTTGAATTTGAGATCATCCATCCAAAACCAAGAAAGGACACGTTACAAATGTACATGCATGATTATATATACACCCGTCCGAAGCCATCTCTAATTTAGACATTTGGAAGAATGGTTTATAGTCCGGAGAATACCTTTAAATGGTTTGGTTTCGGAGCTTTAAATTTACAAACTTCAAAGGGGATATCCTGGCAATTGATTTTCAAGAAAGCTCAAGCTTTAGAAGTGAAAGCAAGCTAGTCCTCTTTCAGTTGAAATATTGCCCTCTGGCAGCTGGGCTGAGGAACCAAGTGACACAGACTGGAGTAACTTAGTTTTCCCTCTTGCGTTCTCTTAGATCAAGAGACCTGCGCAAAGCCATAACAAAAGATAAAAGTATGCCTAACTTTGATGAAGAATTATTGCGCCAGGTAGGTATACAGTAATGCACTTTTGTTTGTTTTTTTAAAACACAAATAAATTCTGCACGAGATAAAACTTTTAGCTATTTTTTATAGAATAAAAACACGAACATTTGGGGCAGAAGAGGAAAAAGTAGAAAGGGAAAGGCAGAAACCTATGTGGCTGCCAGGACCTAGAGCAAGATTTGCCAATTTTCTCTTTGCTGTAGAAAAAAAAGGGGGAAATGAACGGTGGCTAGCATTAGCAGGGAAGACTGAATTCTCTTTCAGTGTGAAATTTTAACTTCAGCCTTGCAAAACCTTATCAAGGCATTTTGATAGTCTCCAACCAGGGATTCTAAATGTATCTCTGATTAGGGCAGCGGTTCTCAACCTATGGGTCGCGACCCCATTTGGGGTCAATCGACCATTTCACGGGGGTCGCCAAGCAAGGCTGTCCGCCATTTTTTCCCTTTTCCGGCGGGTGCCTTACCTCCCTTGAGCTGGGCCAGCTGGTGGTCGGCCTGCTCCGTCTCTGCCGCTTGTCAGCTACGCCTCAGCCGGCGCAGGGGGCAGAACCACGCATGCGCGGCGCTCCCGGGCAGGGAAAGTCCTCGACTTACGACCGGTTCGGTAGTCCTCGACTTACGACCGGCTTAGTCCTCGACTTACGACCAGTTTAGTCCTCGACTTACGATCGGTTGGGGGTCGCGGCATTAAAAAGGTTGAGAACCCCTGGATTAGGGCATACGCCTATTTCAAGCTTAGAACACAATGTGACACTTTTTCAAAGATTTTAGCCGTAAGAAACAAGAGCAATTTGAAACAAAACTCATTAAGGAGGAGAAGTGGGTTGGAAATCCATAAAACGAGTACAAAGGGAACGCTGTTTTGGAGGACGTGGAACAGTCAGAATGGATATTTTTTGTTGAGATGGACTTCTTTGCATTTCAACAAGATAAAAACTAGCATTCTTCCCTTTCTTCTCTAAGCTAGCTATCAAGAGCTTTAATAACAAGCAGAATCCAGTGGATGTGTTAGAGCAAATTCAGACTCATAATCTTGACGCCAATAGCTGTGATGGACCTGTAACCGCTGAAGGCGATGCAGAGATAGCGCCTTTTAGAAAAAGAGAAGTACATCGGAGTCACACTATTAGCGTGGGACTTTCAACGACAGATATTAGTGACTTCTACAGTCTACCCAGAGATGCAAGTGCTGCTCCTACTGACAACTGTCCTGAGAATTGATGCTCTAAAACAAAATGAATAAGAAGTCTGGGTGTCTTATGTAAGGAACACGAGTTTCAGGTAGAGTGGTTCAACGTTGAAGAGGCTACGTGGGATCAAAGTTTTCAAAATTACATCGGACGTTTAGCAGGAAGAGAAGCTTCCCCCTCTGACTTGGCATGGAGTTTGCACTTCTGGAGACGGACACTCCTCTTTATTTTTGAATAAATCGTTAAAATCCCGTACAGTAGATCTATATTTAAAAAAAAAACTAGAAATATATCGAGATCTCAGAATCTATATAGTATTGCACTCTCTAATCAATTTTAATAATAATAGATATGTGAGAGAAAAAACTTTTTATGGCATTTTGAAGGATTGTTCTATTTTTATTCTGAAAATGCGGTGGTTTTAGTTGGTGAGCTGCTGATGGCCGGAATGCTTACAGCCCTCCCAACAGTATGAGGTGTGTTTAAAAGTTTAAAGAGGCCAAATTGTGTAGCTCATTTAGTGCTCACCGAATTGATTGCAGTGGAGGCTGGAACAGGGAAATTAAGAGTAATGGCTTTTAACAAAAGGTACATTGCATCTTGCAGAAGAGAGTAGACCCTAATTAAAAAAAGAATTCCCTCCGAGCAGAGTTGAAACTTCTATTCAGTATGTTTGTATTATATGAACTGCCCACATAACTGAGCAGCCCAACCGCATTAGCTATTTTAAATTATGTATCTGTGGCACACAAAACAGGCTACTTAAGCAGAGCACATCTGATTTAAGTTGCAATCTTTGAAAAGCAGCTTCCTTGCCCTTACTTTCAAAGGCACTTCCAACTGGTCTGTTGTGCACTTTTAGAAACGGAATGTCAACTTTAGGTGAACATTCCAAGTCAATTATGGTGAATAGCGCAATACTTTCATTTCATATTTTGTGTTTATGTAATGTTTGTATACAAAACTGTGCTTTTTAAATTGGTTTAATATGTCTTAATAACTTGTTTTAGGTAGTAAGGTTGTCTTAGAATTTCTCTGTACATTAATATTACGGTTTAAAAACTGAGCTTTAGCTTGCTGCTGAAAAAGTTTATTTTTCTACTAAGTAATTCACCTAATTTTCATATGTGCCTTGGACTTGTGCCAAATAATGTAAACTAAAGTAGTAAAATTAACAGTTATGTGTTCTTAATGTCTGACTCTTTAATTTAAATCACAATTTGTAAGCTAATCTGTGAGCATCAAAGCAGTTTCCTAAAATGTTCAGAGTGTTGCTGAAACCCATATTTTGGGAACACAAGATATTTCTTGAGGATCAATTAGATACCTGAACAGAGGATGAAACCCCCACCTGCCTGGTTATGCTTGGGTTCAGTTTAATGTATTATATAAACCCAACTATAATGCTTATTCAACAATCTAATTCAATTGTCTCAAGACAATCTATGAACGCAGTTCTGTGGTCCTCAAAACTATTTACAGCCACCATCCTAGAGAGAGAGAGAGAGAGGACTTCCAGTGTTGTACAAAATGTATATTAAGAAAAAATACTTTGTGGAATAGGAATAGACAAGAATTGGTCACAGCTAACTTTGCTTAATGGAAAGGTTTTAATACATTTCAGAGCCCATACAAGCCAGAAAAAGAACTTGTCTTTTAACACTGACTTACATAGGATAGATTGTACGCATGGATCAAACACTTACGTTCAGTAACAAAAAGGCGTATTGTTTACAGTGGCATCATGCATGAAAGGTGGTCTTTGAGCTGCTTTACAACTCTGAAAATGGGAAATAATTTCAGTAGAATAGAATGTATTTATGTGGTGGTGAATTACACCAAGACAAAACACAGAAACTAGCCTGTAGTTGATTTTAGCAAACATTAAAATCTTCTTTTTAAAAAGAACCTTAAAATTAACTTTGGCTAAATTATGTTCAAAAATCGTAGCATTTATTAATCCGCTTCTGTATAAAAACAACGTACTGAAGGTTTTCTTTTCCCAAGCAGACTTTAATTAAATTTCATGATGTTCTAAGCCAGGGGTAGTCAACCTTGGCTCTTTTATGACTCGTGGACTTCAACTCCCAGAATTCCTGAGCCAGCTAAGCTGGCTCAGGAATTCTGGGAATTGAAGTCCACGAGTCGTAAAAGAGCCAAGGTTGACTACCCCTGTAAATCTAAGCAAAGCATTCTGAATTTGCAATACAGCAAATCTGTCAACAATACATTATGCAGCCATATTTTTGTGAACCAGCCTGTCTTGCTTGATTCCAAACCAGGTTTATCAAACTCCAGGAAGTGTTCTGACATATAATGTACACACAGTATTTCTGATCCTTTGAAACCGTAGTAATGCTAATCAGGCTTCAAAGCCAATTTCAAAAACACAGCCATCAGGGAATCTTGTTTGGCATTAATCACAGCTAAGATAATTGAAAATGAAGAGAGAATTTCTACATGGGGGAGAGAATAAACTCGATGGCTGCTCCTCAACTTTTATTCATGGATAAGAAATGAATACTTTATGGGTATATCGTATGTCCCTCCCTTACTTAAATATACAAATGAAATTCTCTTTCCAATATGTAATTTAGCCCGTAGACAAATTGGTATTTGTTGGTAAGGTAGAATTTCATTTCCTATGGGACATGAAGTACCTATAGAAGAGTCAGGGCAAGTATCTTTTCACATCTGCCAATTGCACAATAAATTTAACTACACAGTGTCGAAGGAAAGCTGAAACCTAAGAAATAGAGAGTGAATCCTTATTTCTCAAGCTCATATAAAACCTATCTAAGGAAACAATTTCACTTAATTATACAGAAGGCAAGCTTATCCGTTTTACTTTTTATAAAAATGTGTAGAGAACATTGTGTAAACTTTCATCTATGATAGAACATACTTTCCTTGACATATTCCAGACAATTAGCAGTTGGCAACTGTTTTCATATTCCATTAATTAATCTTCCTCATCGGAATCCAACACTTTTCTTCTATTGAACTAGAAGAATGATAGAATAGAGGTGAATCAGGCTTAAAATAGTTTGAGGCTAAATTGTCAGTCGTTGATTTATAGTAACAATATCAAATGTTTATGAGACACACACATGTACAGCAATTCTAGCACTGATGTGTAATCCCATATTATTGCTAGGTAGTCTTCCTATACAATTTTGAAGGTGCAAAAAGTGAAACTGTACTCTTAAAACTTATCTACTTAAAGCCTCTGTAGTATCTATGGGGGGGGGAGGAGGGAGACAGAAGAAAGAATCTGGACAGTTTACAGATAAAATTAAAAGAAAATAAGGCATATCAAGAAGAAGAAAAAAAAGACAACTGACCAAGGTTAAAATCCAAAGAACCAAATAGCAAAAACAAAAGACACAAATGGGTTCAATAGCCATCCTAACCCTAAGCTTGAAAGAACAGACAGTTTGTGGAATATTGAAAGAGTGGGAGCAATTCAAAGATAAAGAATGAAGGGGCAAAACATTAAAAGGGGCTAAGAAAAAAAATGCAATGTATTGAGCAGATATTAAATAAATAGGAAGCCTTTCACATCCGTAAATTATCTGCTGCCAGTTTCAGTGATGTAATTTGCTCTATTCTACCTGAAGAGCTACATCAAATACTCACTGCCAACTATGCTGTGTCTACTTTTCTTCCTTTCTGTACAAACCAGATTTAATTAATTTAAATTAGTTTTAAGATATCTTACCTTTACTGTTGTTTTTTTGTCTGTTTGCTGACTCACTTTTTCAAGTATTTCTATCAACCCTTGTTCTGATATCTAAGTAGTCAGGAGGAGAATGGAAAGAATATTTACTTGGTAGAATGGTACACAGAGCTCTAGCTGAAAAATTTAAATATTTACGGTTCTCATGTTGAATTACTGGTACCTTATTTATTAAGATACAAATAGCAACAATCCACTGTTCGAACTATACTTGTGATTTTGTCCTCCATATACAATAGCACAGTAGCAAAGAATAGAAACAGAAGCAAAGGTGGGAAAACTGTCAAAATATTATGAATAGCTAACTGCTTGCTTTGCTAGCTATAGTAATTGTTCAAGTCACTAATATCCAGAATGCTTAGAGGGCTTGGGAGACAGGCTGCTTCTTCCCCCACTGAAGCAAGTTCTACAAAAGGCAGGAAACACTCCTGCTTAGCAACATGGCCAGTAGAAGTTCTTTTGGAGCAAGCGGTTCTTTAAGGGTCCATCCATACTCTCCTTTATATAAAACAGAGAGAAAGGTACCCAGGGAGAGAGATAAAGGACCATTCTAATTGCAGTGAACATTTTATAAGTTTTTGGCAGGCTGTTACACCATCCGAATTCCAAACAAGAAAAAAAAACACCAGGTTTTTATTCCCTTTTCAAATAATAGCCAACCAAATGTACTTTGGGAAACCACATCTCTGAATACTTCGCTCCACACCTCTGAATACTTTGCTAGAGAGCAATATTGCAGGGAACTAAGAACAGGAAAGAAACTTACTTTTCCACCTAGCTGTCCAAATCTTGCCATCTGTATAAGGTAATTTTCAACTGCCTTTGCCTTTTCTGGCTTTACAAGTGCTAAATTGCTTACTACAAGAGGAAAACAAATATTTGGTTAATTAAACATCATTCATTAAGAGATATATCTGGGCTGCTCTCTCAAGAGCTCAAGACTACAAGGGAATCTCCCTTCATTTTAACACCACAGCAAAACTGGCCTTGACTGGGTGGGAGAAAGGCCCAAAATCACCAAGTAAATTTCCAAGGCTGATTATCTCTCCAACCCAAGTCCAATACTTTAAACACCAAGCTGGCTCCCACAACTGTATATTCAAGAACAAAAAGATTATTACATCTATCCCAGACCTTAATCCTGAATTAAGAAAAGCAACCCTTATATTACTGGTGTTTAAATAAAAACGTTTGTAAAAACTGACCAACTGGAGAATGGTACAAAAGTTTAAGGAATGGTTTGTATTCTAACTGATCTTAGTACAATGATTGCTTTAGGTCAGGCATGTCAAACTCGCGACATCATGTGACGTCGCGCGATGTATCGGAGCTTTTTCTCCATTGCTTGCAATGGGGTGGGCGCGGTTTTGGGATGACGCGTCCAGCCCGCGGGCCGGCAGTTTCACACCCCTGCTTTAGGTTATGCGTGCACCACTTTTTCAAGTAACGAGATGAAGTAATTGTTGTCAATATTCAGGATGCTATAATCAAGACAAAATCAAATACCTACAGGTAATATATAAATATTGCTATAATTAAGGATACTAAATATAGCATACTCTCATGCTTTTGGATGGATGATACCAATAAGATACAGCAATTCAAAACTGATGGAGTGGAGGACTGCTGACCAATGAAATTCTGAGTATGTGTACAATGTCAGTGCCATTTAGGCATGGATAGTATTACACCCTATGACACGCTTCCCTGCAATTAAGTAAGACTTTTATCTAGAGGTTAATGCCAAGACTCCTCTATCTTTTTGAAACTCAAGTACTTTGGCCACCTAATGAGAAGGAAGGACTCACTGGAGAAGAGCCTGATGCTGGGAAAGATTGAGGGCAAGAGAAGAAGGGGACGACAGAGAATGAGGTGGCTGGATGGAGTCACTGAAGCAGGAGGCGTGAACTTAAAGGGACTCCAGAAGATGGTAGAGGACAGGAAGGTCTGGAGGAACGTTGTCCATGGGGTTGCGATGGGTTGGACACGACTTCGCAACTAACAACAACAACCTCTGTCTTTCTGTAAGACCCTTGAAAACCTGGTTCTTCCTTGGGCATTAGGCCAGAATGTTGGATGAATGCATCTTGACTGAAAAATCTTGAAAGAGATAAGCAGTGCTTGGCCTGTGAATCTGTTAATTTTGTTGCTCTGTTGATTTCCATTCAAGAGGTTTATTGTATTCTATTTTCCCCAAATTGCTTTTTGCAAATTGAGTGATCATATAAATCAAACAATAAATACTTACATCTGGCACGTGCTGCTTGATCCAAAACCTGAGCCAAAATATTATTTCTCATTTCAGCTTCCCTGTAATGATGAAATAATTTTACATAGCAGAAAATAAAAATTGGTCCCCAAATGTTAACATTTCTGCTAAAACGCTAATTATAATATATGTTAATTTTATAATTCAATGCATGACTTAGTTATATATCATATTTTGATATTTCTTTTATTAATTATTCCAGCATATTATTTCTTAACATTAGCATTTCTACAGTTTAATTTCTACAGTTTTTCAAAAACTGAAAATCAAATCAGTTTTACATCTATAAATAATTGCCAGGGCAAATTTTTTAATTAGGATGACAAATTATCCCAGAAAGCTTGTATCCTAATAAAAAATTAATTGGAAAAACCTAAAATCCATTTATTTTACCACTTGATCATATCAATCTTCCAGCATTGAACAGAATACTGATCAATTATAACAGTTGCTATTAAAATATAGTAGCAAAAGTTAGTGCACACTAATTATTACAGCTTTCTCTTTTGGAAGGTGGAACTTTCGAAAGGATTACCATATTTAATAATATTCTATTTAAAATGCTGCAATGCATGTTTTTGAAAGAAAATATATACCATGAAATGAATGATTTCAAAAGCACATAAAATCATATTTATATGATCTAAATATTCTTAAAGCCAAAAGATATGAAACTGAATGTTCATAAGCTATTGAATGTGCTAAGTTTGGGATGTGCCCCACTGCTCTTAGAGAAAAAAAATAATGAAAAGTTCCAGTAACAAGTTCTTAAGTAACACCGCAATACCTCTGTTTTGATTCTTGTTGTGCAATTTCACTGGAAGGATCCTAAAAAGTTAGAAATAATCAGGTTATTGTAACTGAAGAATAAACTGAAGGATGTTTCTTCTGAGGTCTGATTGGCAAAATGCTAAATTATGCATGCTGTCACCTTAACATTACAAGGGTTTTAAGGGCAGAACTGCTCAACATCAAATGGCTGTTATACGCACAACTATTATGGTGTCTTAGTAAGAGAAAACTTAAGGGTCAAAGGAACATTTTATTTGGGTGTTTTGAACTGCCCAGCCTCTATCCCTTTTAGAATACGTAAATTGCAAATATATACAATCTTCAGTGCTTCCTATGTCAAAAGCATACTGTTTCATATTGTCTACAGAAACAAAACTACTGTATATACCCAATTCTCAGCTTATCTGCAAATATGCTTTCCAACTGGAAAATCATCTAATTTTGGTACTTCTCTGAAGTGGGGTAGCCCAAAGAAATGCTGGCACTTCCTACACAGAAACTGAAAAATAAGCTAGCAAACTCAATCTCTTCCATTAGAAAACAAAGTGCAGTATCTTCATTAATAGCCAGTTTGGTGTAGTGGTGAAGACGTTGGCCTAGAAACCAGGAGACGGTGAGTTCTAGTCCTTGCTCTGGCATGAAAGCCAACTAGGTAACTTAGGCCACTCCCATTCTTTCAGCCCTACCTACCCCACAGGATTGTTGTGGAGAAAAAGGGAGGAGGAAGGAGTGTTAGACATGTTTGCCACCTTGAGTTATTTATTAAAAAATAAAGGCAGAATATATTTTTTTTAAAATGCCAGCTAGGTGACTTTGGGCCAGTCACTCTTTCTCAGTCTAATGCACCTCACAGTGTTGTTGATGCGTGGAAAAGGTACCACAATTAGGTGTGTTTGCTACTTTGAGTATATATATATCAGGGGCCCTCAAACTTGGCCACTTTAAGACGTGTGGACTTCAACTCCCAGAATTCCCCAGCCAGCCATGCTGGCTGGGGAATTCTGGGAGTTGAAGTCCACACGTCTTAAAGTGGCCAAGTTTGAGGACCCCTGACATATAGGTAGTCCTCAACCGACAACTTTTCATTTAGTAATCCTTCGATGTTACAGCACACTGAAAAAAAAGCGACTTATAACCATTTTTCACACTTTATGATCATTGCCATATCCCCACAGTTGCGTGATCAAAATTTGGACACTTGGCAACTGGCACATTTTTAAGACAATCGCAGTGTCTGACAATTGAAGAAGTCAATGAGGAAGCTAGATCCACTTAACAACTGCATGACTAACTTAACAACTGCAGTGATTCACTTGACAACAGTGGCAAGAAAGGTGGTAAAATGGGACCAAACTCAACCCTGTCTCGCTTAGCAACAGAAACGTTGGGCTCAACGGCGGCCACAAGTCGAGGACTACCTGCATTTTAAAAAGGTAGGATTAAAACCCCAATAATAAGGACAAAAGAAGCCTCTGGAATTCGTCTCTCTTTGCCTTTACGCTATGTCCACATTGCACCAGCTCAGCAGGCGACGTCAAACGTGGTTTATTTCCCCAAACCACCTTAGACAAGCCACAGAGAAGATGCAAAAATCGAGCTGAACCTGATTCCTCAATTAATGCATTTTCACCGTTCACAGCATCAAAAACAGGCTGGTTTCCCGCAGCACAGGCACAAACGCGCGTCAGCAGGTTGTGAGAACCGACAATGGGGGTGGGGGGGGAAATGTATGAGGGGAAGAGCGGGAGGGGCCGGTGCGCCTTATTATAAGGGAGGTGGGAGGCATAAAGGTTTTAATAAATAGACACATCGGCCTAGGCCATTTCCCTCTCCCTCCTTCCCTCTTGGGGAGCTGCGGGGCCCCGTTCTGACGAGACGCGCGGCCCCGTCAAGCAGGGCTGAGGGGGGGGTGTCGTGAGGACCCAGCCAACACGCGTGTCGGAAGGGTGCTGCTCGCCTCACCCCATGCTTGGCCTGCAGCTCGGCCATCCTCTGCTTGCGCAGCGCCTCCAGCTCCTCGTCCGCCATCGCCTCGCAGGCCGGGAGACGGGCCGGAGCAGCCCCGCCGCGCGTGAGGGAGACGGAGAAGAAGAAGCAGCAGCACCGACCGCGCCCGCCGCGTCTCTCACGCCTCTCTCTCTCTCTCTCTCGGGCCGCCTTCTTTGCGCCTGCGCGGGGCCACCTCCTGCTCGGTTTAGGGAGTCGAGTGCCGAGCGAGCGAACGCGCGCGCCACGGGCCCTCCGGCAGCGTCTCTTGATGGACTCCGCTTGCCAGGCCTAATGAGTTGAGCACCGATCAAACAGGATCCTGGAAGGAAGGAAGGGTTAGAGAGGGTAGCAGGAGGTGGGCGCGCTTGGCTGGTCTTGGGAAGGGAAGCAGGCTTGAGGGCCAGGTAGGATGGACTTTGTAATACGCGCAAGTATGGGTTTTGTAGTACTGTTGCACTGGCGAGCTAAGGGGTTTTCTTGCCCCTGAAATGAGTCAAGTGTATTGCTAATAATTTGCCACACCAGCTGTAACCTTCAAGCAGAACGATTGGATGGGAGACGGGTGTAGGATTGCGGAGTGGCCCCAAAAATAAAAATAAAAATGGTATTGTTTGGTTCTGGTAGAGACGACACCCCCCCCCCCCCCCCATTTTATAACCCATCTGGTGAAACGGCTGGGTTGCAACCACCAGAGGGAGCGCCGGCTCTATCCAAAATTAATATTTTTTCTGTTGTGGGACAGGAAGGAACGAATGCAGTTATCCGGGTTTTTGTGCTGTTAGGCAGCAGTTTGCATCGGTAGCATGCATTTGTGAGGCTGTAAATCAGTGTTTCTCAACCTTGACAATTTTAAGGCATGTGGACTTCAACTCCCAGAATTCCACAGCCAGCATTGCTGGCTGTGGAATTCTGGGAGTTGAAGTCCACATGCCTTAAAATTGTCAAGGTTGAGAAACACTGCTGTAAACCCATGCTTCCTTATGCGTCCATGTGCTCCGGCTCTCCCTGAACACGCAGCAATTGTCTTGGTATTTTATTTCAGAAGTCTCGTTCAGTGCTATTGAGGCTTCTTCCATATTTTAAAGAACCTAGCAAGTTCCTATTATGCAGGATTTATAGAAGAATGGAGATCAACACCTGGCCCTGTTGCAAACACTTTATGCAGCTCCCGTCTTACGGTTACCGTAGGAATCCCAGCCAAGGCATCCGTGATATAGTCAGGACATAGCAGATGCAGGTTTTAAAACAAAACTTCACCTGGGACACAATTGACTCAGCTGAGCTGCAAACCTGTGTACGGTTGAGATTCATTTTGTTTGTAAATAAAATGATAGAGTTAGCACAGCCACTCATCCTTGAGATAAACCTAAGCTCCTTTATCTTATCGTTTAGCTCTTTTCCTGCCCGGGAACAATTAATCAGAAACTGGCTGTGTTTGAGAATCTTGGAAATACATGCGAGGCCACGCATTGCAAAGACAGGAACGTTCTCCATTTGGAGAGCCAGAAAAATAAGCTTTGGCCAAGACTTAAGGCAGCAGGGTCTGTTGCGGTAAGTTGATAAAATGTTTTAAAAACCGTGTTTAGTCCGGCCACAATTTTCATGAATGGCCGTGGTGAGCATTCATTGAAGCCGCCCGCCTCGCCGCTGATTGGTCGGTCTCCCTCCCGACGCCCCGCCCCAGCGCCCTCCCCCCTCCCGGCCCTCTTCTGGTCCAGCTCCGTTGAGGATTCTGTGGAGGCGGCGCATCTTCTCTTGCGGCTGCCGGCAAGGATGGAAGCGGGGCGACTGGCTGTCTTTTCGCCACCCCCTCCCGGAAAATTGCCTTAAAGGGGCGAGCGGCTTCAGCATCCTGAGCCCGGAGCCTGGATGCCCCCAGGGGAATCCAGCGCTGCTTGGAGCTGCAGCTGTGCCCGGCCAGATGCTGCAAGGGCGCTCAGGATGCTGGCGCTGAGCGCCCTTTGGCCAAGGCGCGATCCTCGCTGCGCTGCTCTGCCCAAAAACCAGCGTTGGGCTTTGTGCCCACAATCCTTACTAGTAGCATGCACTTAATAATAATAATAATAATAATAATAATAATAATAATAATAATAATAATAATAGTGATAAAGTTGGAAGGGACCTTGGAGGTCATCTAGTCCAACCCCCTGCTCAGGAAGGAAACCCTATACCATTTCGGACAAATGGCTGTCCAGTCTCTTCTTAAAAACTTCCAGTGTTGGAGCACCCACAGCTTCTGGAGGCAGGTTGTTCCACTGGTTAATTGTTCTAACTGTCAGGAAGTTTCTCCTTAGTTCTAGGTTGCTTCTCTCTTTGGTTAGTTTCCATCCGTTGCTTCTTGTCCTGCCTTCTTGGAGAATAGCTTGACTCCCTCTTCTTTGGGGCAGCCCCTGAGATATTGGAACACTGCTATCATGTCCCCCCTCATCCTTCTCTTCGTTAAACTATACATACCCGGAATAGTTCTAATAAGATAACAAACTTTGGCCTTACGTCTCTCTATATCAATTTAATCCCTTCCACTCGTGGAAGAACTGATTTTTTCCCCAAAGCCATCGTTCAAGTCACCAGCTTTAGGTACCAGCTCAAGCCCTGGAAAGGAAGAATGAGATAGTAAAGTTACACCCAACTGTACCGCAGCCGCGTTGGGCATCTGTTATTCAGATATTATCTGCTTGAACAAATTTAATATGACATTGACTTGATATCAAAAACAGTTAGAAGGTGTTTTTTTTTCTTTCTCTTTTGAGTGATGTTAGTATTATAAATGGCTCGTAAGCCAAAGGGTTTGTTTTGCTATTACCTGCGTTATTCGTCTTCGTTTAATGGGCAAGAAGACAGTTTAAGGAATTACAGCCGACAGAAGTTCCACACACAAGTATTTTAATCTCGTGTTCCTTGTCTCTCTCTAGACGCGGCCCCCCGAGCATCTTTTTATCAGCCAGGGCAATGACAGCTGATGTGTCTGGGGACAAGCATCTCCCCTGCCGATCAGAATGAAGAATAAGAGGTAGCTTTTATTGTTGGTGGCTGTCAGGGTTAATGATGAAGAGAAAGGGAATGCTTTCGTGTCCCCGAGAGCGCCATTTGAAATATTAATGAAATAATTTTTCAAGGTTCAGAAGATCATATTTTAAGAGCGCCAGGAAGGAGAGGAAAAACGATGCTTTCCTTTCTCCGTTTTTATCTAAAGGCATTTCTCTCCCTTCCGCCTGACAGCTTGTAAGTATTGATTTCATAAGAGGCCTGTGAGGGCTTACAGAGGAGAACCATAGGTTTCTAACCATGGGGGGGGGGCTTACAGGGTGGGGGGTCAAAAAAATAGCCAAGATGCCAACCGCTACAGTGCAGTTGAAGCTCCGCCCATTTTTTTTAATGTAAAAGGTGGGCGGACTTTATTTGCACCAATCGCGACACTCATAAAAATAGCTAGAATTTTGACTCGGTTGCCCTGTCTGTCTTTTTATCCTACTCGATAGTTCTTGATTTATGACTGCTCATTTAGGGACTAGTTGAAGTTACGATGGACACCCCCCCACACACAAAAAAGATACCACCTGGTTCCAAAAATTACAACAGCTGCCCCTCCCCCTTGGTCGTATGACTGTATTTTTGAGTGCTTGACAACCAGCCAGCATTTAAAACAATTTGCAATGTTCTGCAGTCATGTGACCAGGATTTACAATTTGTTTTTTTCCTGAAAACTTGCAAATGTTTCTAGGTTTTGGCAGCTTTTGGCAAAATTACCCCATAACGAACAATGGTTCCACTTAGGGACCACTATATTTGCTTAATGTCAATTGCAAAAAAGATTGTAAAATTGGGTCGGTCAGGTGGGTGACCTGCTTTACGACTGTCATAACTTACAACCATTACAGTCATAAGTCAAGGACTACCTGCATAGTTACCTCTGAATTATACAAGCTATGTCTTAAGCAAATTTTGAGTTGGGCAATGATAACAGTGGTGCGTTATGCATATATTAAGGTCTGCAGGAGAGGGAAACCTAGATCTTTCTGCTGATGCTCTCAGGAAGGATGCTGGCAGATAAAATATAGTAGACGTTGGTCCTGATCCAGAACTCAACGGGGTCTGAAAATGTGATTGTAATCACCAAGTTTGTAAAACGCGATACCCATTTCTTTCTCACTCCTTTCCCACAGTCGATTCACATCAAAATTCACCTCCCCGGAGATTTCAGCCCTTTCTTGAGATGCTAAATCCTTATCTCCCCATAATTTCCTTCTCTTCAGTGGTAAGTACCTGTTTGCTTTGAAAGCTATGGAAATTGGCCAGCTTATCTCTTTTAACTATAATTCAATAATAAACTACCCTAAAATTTGTTGAAAAAATGGAAGCATCAAAGGGGCTCCAGGTTGCCCACCTCTATACTGATTAAGGTTAACTCATTTACTGTGTTTCTGCATTTTTGTAAGCAGCGGAGAGCGACAGTATCTGGATGGGTTAGCACATACGTTTATTGAATGGTTAAGTAGATCAATAAATGTAGCCCACTATTAACAGATCTGTTATGACCTTCTGGCAGCCAATCAATACATCTTTGCAAATGAAATAAAACTTCATTACTATAGACAGGTGCTTTCATAAGTATAGAAGTGTATTGGCTGAATTAATGTAGATGGTTGATTATAAGTACTAATCATAATTATATTGATTAATAATAATCAGATTCATCTCCTTTTCCACAAGGCATTGTTTGCTTCTGCGTATCCTTAGAAATCTCTAACACGGGTAGCAGTATAGTAACAACATTGGCCATGTATAAAATGTATTTTTCCCATTTCCCCAGTTTTAACAATCAACACAAAGTCAAAGTTCTACCTAATAACTGAAAACATTGGAGGAGTCTTTGAAGCTGAAATAGAAACCGGGGTCATCTTCCCGATTCATGAGTCGCTTTTAAATATATATTTATTTTGTTTTATAAACAAAAATAAAATAGAAAACAGAAAAACAACAATAAAAAATATATCCAGCACTAACAACAACAACAAAAAAGAAAAAAATATGACCCAAGTATAAATTAATGTAACATTAAACGTATAGAATCCACCCCTGCTGGATGTTGAAAAAAGATAAAAGA